TGGGGTCGTTGGCCCGGGTCATCGATACCGCTGGTTCGTTAGTGTTCCTTGTTGCTGTGACGACAGTCGTTACAGTCGTTAAGACTACCTGTGGCCAAGACTGAACGACCATCGTTGGTATCTTCACCTGAGGCCAATAGGTTACGTTTGTTGAGTTTCCTGGGAAGTGATGAAAGGACAGCATTGTAAGTGGGGGATAAGTGGTGGCGTAGACCCCCTCCCCTGTTCAATGACGAATAGTGTGAATATCTAGCTGATAGACAGGTGTTCAAATACTTATTTGCAGCTGTCTCATACAAATAAATAGTTAAAAAATCATACATTGTGATTTCTGGATTTATTTTTTTAGATTATGTCTCTCACAGTGGACATGCACCTACGATGACAATTTCAGACCCCTCCATGATTTCTAAGTGGGAGAACTTGCAAAATAGCAGGGAGTTCAAATACTTATTTTCCTCACTGTATATATATATATATATATATCACCTTGTGTTGCACCTTCCATGATTCAACCAATCACAAGCACAAGTTCATTGGTAACACAGGAAGGCTGTATTTTCATTTATAAATCTCATAGAATTGTGGGGGAAGCACATTTCTTTTATTTCTGGGAGAGGGTTCTCATTTAGACCAGGTCAACAATATACAGTATCTGTGATAAGTTAAATCAGGTAATGAGATAATACTTAGCTATAATATAGATTGAAACTGTCTACAAGCTGAGCTTCAAGAGCAAAGACAAATAAAAGACTAATCTAGTCATTGCAGATTGGTGCCAAAGTCCTGTTAAAAATTTATTGACTCAAACAATGTGGATGATGAAGTGAGTGAGATCCTGTGCGACATTGAATTGACAGGGCCCAACATCTGAATATCTTGGTGAAGTTCCTGATGTCTGAGCTGGATTTAAATTTAACAACTACATCAAAAATTAATGAACTGAAATCTTGGCCAGTAACATATACTGTTCCTTCTTTAGGTCTATTTTGGTGTCATCCACCTCCTGGGGAAAATATTTGTCTCCGAAATCCCGAAAAGGCAGAGTTCGGTTCCGCTAAGAGTAATTTATTATTTTGCAAGACACCTAACAGGAAATAAAAATGCAGAACTAAAACTGAGGTTGTTCAGTCTGGTTTTATACCCTTCTCTCTTCTTTTTCGTCTTTCTGTCTATTTGCTCTTACATAATGTCTCATGTTTTATGTGTGTGTGCTTGTGTGACTCCTCAATCAATCAATCGAAATTGATTTATAGAGCGCTTTACAGTCCAAGTGGACACAAAGGGCTGTACAGTAAAACAATAAATGAATACATAAACAACACTAAAGACAAAGCTCCCACAATGCATAAAATACAAATAAAAACAATACAATAAAATAACCATGCAATAAAACAATAAAACAATAAAATCAATACAACTAAAACAAGAAATGTCAACTTCAGTTTTCAAAGGCCAGAGAAAAGAGGTGGGTTTTAAGAAGAGACTTAAAAACAGACAGTGAAGATGCCTGTCTAATGTGCAATATGTTTGTAGAAAATGTTTAAAATTAGCACAAACAGCAGCAGCGCAGCTACACAGACCAACACAGTAACGACCTGAGAGCCACCTGCAAGATAAACCACAAATTAAAAATCCAGACTTGTTTAAAACACATTCAACACGGCTCGTCATCATCCAGTGTTGTCTGTGTTGAGGAGATGTCGGTGCCGGTGATACTGAAAAAACTAAAACATTATTATTTCGCTAAACATTTGACGGATGTACTGGGATAAGTTTGTTAATGTATTTGTTAACACAGTATATCTGCCTTAAAGACAAATGTTAACATTTTGAAAGCTAGCCTCCAGTTTCAATTTCTGACTCTGCTTCTGAAAAACAATGAAAACAGGTAACTAAATAATGAATACACCAAAAAATAAAGTTCAGTTAATGTGTGGAAAAAATACTATTTTGAACATAGACATTTTACATGTCAAATTATGAAAAGCACAGGTGAAAATAATTAAATACATGAGACTGAATTTGCTTCAGTTGCTTCAGTTTCAGGGACCTGATATTATTCTGTTTTGGGAAACTTGATGTTTTTTTATTTTCATTTCAATTTTAATTCAATTTTATTAATATAGCACCAATTCACAAACGTTTTGTAGATGCTGACTTTCCTGATGCTAGCTAGACTGGCCTCTTTGTTTCCTGCTGCTGTTCGGACTACTAGAACCACTTAAAACTACCTGCACTACCAAGGTACTGATGCTCTCAGAAGTCAATAGCAAGTTAACCATCAGGCATTGCAAACATGACTCATCAGACATGTTTTAAATGAAGAGTATTTGGCTGTCTTATAAAATCTACTTATATTGAAGTTAAAAGTACAAAAACATATGTATAACAAACTGTCCTTTGTTAACCTTCTTCAGATTTTGAAGAGTTGTGTGCACACATGTTTT